TACATTATCAAAGTAAAGACATTGCCAACGATGGCAGGTGCCTTTGTTCAATCCTTCTCTGCCTGGGGCTTACACCAGCTGAAGCTGCGCGATTGGTCAGCCCGCCCAGCAGTGCTGGGAGAGAATCGGTCTGGAAGTAATGTAGGGGCCTTAATAATTAGAGGGGTTTTGGGGGGGGGTATGTTATAGTATAGTGATAATAAGGAACCCCCACAACACTATTGGTAATTATTTAGGCTTCTATAGTATTCCGCATTCTGGTCGTTCTGTTCCAATGCGTGCCACATCATGTCGGAGCCATGTTGTCTTTGCGATCAATTTGCTGCTCCTACCTCAAAAATTCTGTGTTGTGGATTTTCAAAAATCTTCAAGATCAGACCTTCAGCAAGAGCTGCTGTTGGCAGGCTCCCAGACCACCAAAACTATCCTGAACCCTCGGGCCTCAACCTAAAACCTCGATAAAGCCCAAACCCTGAACCGCAAAGCTAAACCAGGTTCCCCTGTAGTACCTGTTTGCCCTTTTCTCTCTTTGGGTTGCCGTATTAACAACACATAGTAGGAAAAAGGGTACCCTTATTAGGGGCCTGGGTAACCAAGTTAGTATAGGGGCCTTAATAACTAGAACAGGGTTTGGGGGCATATTAGACTTTTACTTGTAATGATAATGAGGAACCCCCCAAAACCCTATTCTAATTATTAAGGCCCCTACATTCAACCCTAAATCCTAAACCCCCTAAACCCTAAACCCCACACCCCCTAAACCCTAAACCGTACAACCTACACCCCTTATTAGTAAGGGGCTACTTGGTAACCGAGTAAAAGCCCAACAAGGCTGAGCTTGGAGGATGGATCCATCTTGGCAGTGATGCGCATGTCGAATGGGTCCTTCGCCTAGGACCGAAGTGACCTGCAGCTTGGGTCGTGTCAGAGTTCGGGGCTTAGGGGTTTGGGTTCAGGGTTTAGGGTTTAGGGTTTAGGGTTTAGGGGTTAGTAGGGGTTAGGGTTATGACGGTCATGAGGGTGTGAATTCTGAGCGCCCATGCTTCTGGTTGATTTGGGATAGAAGCATTGATGCACACTCGGCGCTGCAGTTGTGATCGGATGATCAGTGGCGAACATCAGAAGCACTTATCGGGGTGTCACGGTTGAAACCCCTCCGATGCTCTCTTGTCTTACTGTCGAACTTATGTAGGAATAGGCTACGAGCACAACGAGGATGATGACCTTGAGAAGTGTTAGAATTAGTTTGGATATTTTGGCCCGGCACCCAATGATTTCTGCAGTTTCAGTCCTTCTGGTTTGCACGTTGTGCATTGTCCTCCTCGGATGCCTCAGTTAACAATGAGGTGTCGTCCCATCCTGCAGTTCGCACTTTTGTCGCTCGCAGTGGCAGTTGTTCAATTGTTACACCGGTGTTCCAGTAGGTGTAATTAGCCGTCCCTGCTTTCTGACACTGTGGCCCGGGTACGAGTATATCCCATGTTGATCATCTCGGGAAGCAGAACGCTCTTGCGGAAGTTCTGAGTTCACAGTGCCAAAAGGCTCCCAGCGTACACATCCAAAGTCCGGCGGGGATGCAAATGTGAAGCCAGTCAAAAGCGCCAGACCTGAACCAATGTCCCTTATAGTTGAATCTGTTTGAACATAATAGAATAATAGAGTGTAATATAGTAGGTTTCAGTGCAATATAACAGAGGACAATGGTCAAACTGATCTATACTATACTATACTATACTGTACTATGCACTACTACACTTACTATAATAAGCTAGACTATACTAGACTGGACTATACTATGCTTGATCTTAGATTAGACCAGACGTGACTAGACTAGACTAGACTTTACTATGTTTCAATTTAGGATCTGTGTCGATTACTAGATATGCTATTTTTCGATGTCGGCACCTCTTGTTGACGCCCTTCACCCCCATCCTGCAGAAGATGCTAAAGTCGCAGGTCGAACTAGCCATCATCCAAGTTGAGTCCTTAAATCCGGAACAGCTCTGGACCCAAATATGACGGCCCTGAAGCCCTCAACCCTGGACCCCAAACCCCTCAGCACCCTGAGCTCCAAAGCCGCCATCAACTCAACAAGAACAGCCGGCAACTATGAAGCCCCAAACGTCTGCAGAAGCCTATGCATAGCGCGTATTAGCGACAACTATTAGAAAACCGCGACATAACCCTTGTAAAGCCTTAGCCTAGCCCAGGCCCTAAGCTTCGGGCTTCAAAAAGCACCTAAGCAGAAGCTATTGAAACCTACGAAGGCCTATGCGTTGGTGCATTCGGGGGGTCTAGACGCTAAACTCCAAAAACCTAAGCAACCCATAAAACCCTGAACCCTTAAGTTGTCAACCTTCAACCCTGAACCCTAAACCCTCACACCCCTAAACCCTAAACCCCCGAACCCCTCAACCCTAAACCCTAAACCCCTCAACCCTAAACCCTAAACCCTATAAACCCTAAAGCCCTAAACCCTAAACCCAATTCTGAGTTCTTCAAGAAAGCGGACCGCCGACCTCGCGGCTGTGAGGCCCGGCTGCCCGAGCTTGCGAGTGTCCAGGGAGTCCTGCCGCTGCCTCGGTTTTTGTTGGGGGGTTTTCTGGGCTTAGGGGCTTTAGAGTTTAGGGTTTGGGGTTTTGGGCTTAGTTTACGGATTTTGGGGTTTTGGGGTTTGGGGCTTTAGCGTTAGGTTTTTTGTGTTTAAGGGCTTCTCTCTATTGAGGGTTGTATGAAAGAGGGGCCTATAAGGTTTCTCGTTAAACGGGGAGGGGCTACCACGGATTCGGGTTCGAATAGGGTTGTGTTGTGTTTTCTGCTAAGATGTTTATAGGGTATTGGGATGTTTGTTGCAGCTACTTTCCAGGCGTTGTCCTCTGATAGAGTTTTGTTGTTTATGTGGCTTTTATGCAACATTCTGCAACATAAGGGGTTTGTAGAGGTCGATTGCGGTTCTCTTGAGTTTTATGAGGTTTCGTGTGGGCTGTTGTGGATGTTTTTGTTTCGTATGGGGAGCTTCAGAGGACTTGGGGTCCGCCGATCGGGGGTCCTGGTAAGAGGGATCTTACTGTTGGGGGTCTGTAATATAGGAGCCTGCATACTTGCCAATACTATTTTTTTAAAAATTTTGGGTAGGGCGCTGACTGAAGGGCTCGGGAGTATTGAGTGAGATTGAGGATGTAGGGGTCGTCGCCGACTAGGCTCTGGGTCAGCACGTTCGGCGTTGCGAATTGCAGCCCTCAAGACCAAACTAACTGATCATGATGTTGGGACCTCAGTAATTCGATGAGGGTGTTTGGGTATGTTACACTGTAAGAACCAAAAGTACAGTATGAAAAGAGACCCTGAGGAACCATATCAGCAATTATGCAGCCCTAAATCCTGCACCTTGTCAAGTCATGATATGCAGCTGCTAAGCGGTGCTTCCTTCCTAGGCATGGACACCAGGATCTTCCACAATGCGCTGGTCCTCGTCGCGGCCTGAGGGCGTCGACTCACGTCTTAGGGCCTCAGCTTCGGGATTTAGGGCTTGGGGCTTAGGGATTTGGGGATTTGGTGTTCAGCAGGGCTCTCTGTGAAGGGGTTGGGCTTTGGGGCTCAAGGCTTTGGAGGGGTACTCCGAAGTGCGATGAGGATTGCGGCTCAAGAAGGGAATGAGGCACGAGGACATGCTGATGAACCTGTTGTCCGACCAGAAAGCCTCCGAATCTTTGGAGGCATGAACTGGCATCAAGTTAGTGGGGAATTTAGGTTTGGAGTTCGGGGGGTTGAGGCTTAAGGTTCAGAGGTGTTCAGAAGAACGGAAAGTTGTCTTCAAATGTTCTGTCCTGATCAAGACCCTCGTCAATGCTACGATCTTTGTGAGTTTTGAAATCATGAACTTGTTTCCAAACGCTTCTACCCTCTAAGCCAAGTATTTGCAGGCGCAGCTGGATTCGAACTTGACCGTGCAGAGCCATGTCGTAGTGGACGTACCAGAGCTGCCGGCGCCCTGGAGACTCAAGCGTCCGTCACCATGATACCTACATATATCTACTGTGGCTACCACAACCAATCAAGATGAGAGTATGCAAGCGGAGTTTGCTTTGAGTGTCGAGACTCTCCCATCATGGACTCAAAAAAGCAGCTTACACGACTTCGGAAAGCAGGCTCCTGAATCCCAACAGTGCCTTAGAGCTAAGAGACTAGGTAGTCAACAGTTTCTTGTGATTTCCTGTGCAGCATGTCTAGCAGAGTTTAGCAGCACCGCACCATCTTCAACACCATCGTTGTCGTGGTCGCCGGACTCCTCCTGGAGAGTCCGGCGACTCCTCCTCCTCCTCCTCCTCCTCCTCCTCCGGCTCCTCCTCCTCCTACCTTCATCATCATGATGATGATCATCACCACCACCATCACTGCCGCAACCACCACCAGCACTACCATCGCCACGACCACCAACAACAAGCAGAACAGCAAACCTCCACCAAGACCCACACTACTACCAACACGAACATCAACACCAACACCAGCAGCATCATGATCATGCCCATCAACCTCATCATCACCATCGGCATCTTCATGACAGCCACCGCCAATACCCAGCGGCACCAACACCAACATCACCAACACCGACGGCATCATGGTCATGCTCATCATCATCGTCACCATCAAAATCATCAACTCCAGCATCACCACCACTATCACAGTCACCCTCATGGTAATTGTCATCACGATGCTGTCGTTGTTACTTCTACAGTTGCAGGAGATGACCATTTGAATGTTGTGCCGACAAAGCCTGGGGCGTAGAATATCAAACAGGGAACGCAGAGATTTGCAAAGGGAGCAGGGTTGAAAAGCTTGACATGTTGGGGAATGTTCACTGGGCAACTGTTCTTCTCTTTGGAGCCACGTTACGTCTGACAGGACGGAGGTGTTGCGAGGTTGCATGTTTGCAGACGCCCCGAAACGTTGCAAGTCACCGGTAGAGACCCTGCAAGAGACAAATGCACTGTGCCCAGGACATGCCGCTTCACTCCGGATGTCGAGGCACTCAAACATGCGCGTTGAAACGGGAGGGTTTTGAGATCCTAACTCTGAACCCTAAACCCTTAAACTCTAAACCCCTAAACCCTAAACCCCAAGACCGGAACTATGCTAGCCCCCAGCCTGTCGCTCGAATCTCTCGACGTCTGTTGCACGCACAACCCCAATCCTGCTAAAAAGAGGAGCTTCCGGAAGCGAGGCGTTCCTCTGTTTAAGGTATCCTCTGTCGTCAGAATCCCAGTCTGAGGGTCTGCACTTGAGAATAATATCATATGTATATATATATATATATGTATATGATTAGTTCTCTACTTATCGGTACATGTTTGTACTTGTGCGTGTGGTTGTTTGGTTTGCTGGAGTGTACTTGTCTGCGAACTAACATCGGTTTGTTCATCTAAATACGGCTGTTTTATTGATGTGTGTTTGTTTCATTATACAGCTGTCGGTCACTACTTGGATGGACTTGCCGAGTTATTTGTCGACTTTGTGATTAACTTGCTTACTTTAGATTGTTTACGGTGTTGTTTGTTTAGTCATCTGTTGCAACTACGTGTATATACACATACACATACATATAACGAGTCATATATATATATATACATATGTATATGTATATACATGTACATGTATATACATGTACATGTATATACATGTACATGTATATACATGTATATGTATATACATGTATATGTATATACATGTATATGCATGTACCTATATATATATATATATAGACAGAGAGAGAGAGAGAGAATTTACGACTGGCTACTGCAATTCTGCAGGAAGGTCTTCGGACGGGGCCTTAGATGCTCGCTCTACTGTTTGAACCGGCTCTAGCCAGTTCGGACCGAGATGAGGCCTGCACCAAAAAGCTTAACCCTCGGTTTTAAATTGAAAGCCTACACCCTTGAGCACGAAACCCTAAACCTGAAGCCCTGAACCCGAAATCTTACACCCTGTAGCACTCTGCTTAGAGAACCCTTACGGAGCGCTCAAGTAGTTCTCCCTTAAGGTTGGCTTTCGGAGGTCAGCGGGCGCCGCTTCCTCGACGAGGTTCGCCCTAGGTCCGACCCTTCCCGAGGATTGCTGAGAAGTTTAGGGCCCATAACTTCAAGGGTTAATGGATCTGCAACGGTGTCGGTTTAGGGTTAGGGTTTAGGGATAAGGGTTCTCCTGGGTTTGTTTCAGAGTTTCATACTGTGGATGTTGACAAGGGGTCTCGAAAAGTGTGCAAGTGGAAGACCACTATGCTTGGAAACCGGGAGCGAAGACCGAAGCCCCGTTGCTTATAGCCAACCTCATACCTTGCAAAGCTTGGCGTGTAATCGTGTTCGTGCAACATGGCGCCCAAACCTTACTGTTGAAGTAAAATCTGAGGCAAAAGAGGGTTGCATCTGTCCTCTAGATTGTCCCTTATGGCAACGCTTCAAAGATCCCTAGTATCCCTTGTAGCAACCCTTATAACAGCCCTTGCAGTATCCCTTGTAGCATCCCTGATAGTATCCCTTCTTAAACGTCCCGTCCGGTTTTGCCCACCGGTCCCCGGCCACAGGTCCACGGCCCCATGGATGCTCGACCCGTCCTTAGGTTCGAACGATCTCCCTTCCTGTATAGGGGCCTTAATAATTAGAATAGAGTTTGGGGTATATTATACTTTACTTATAGTATAAGGAACACCCAAAAACCGTATTCTATTTATTAAGGCCCCTACATTAGATTCTGGGGGCTTTCACAGTGCATAGTTCAGCACATCATACCGTATCTTAAAGTCTGGGATCTTTCAGCACATCATACCGTTTCCAGCGTGCGTCCTTTTTAGTTTACTCATGTTCATGGAGTGCAACTCAGAGCCCCTCGCTGACCTGAGGCATCTTCAAGGGCAACGACGGCGAAATGTGGCTTGGCAAGACCATCGGCCTTTTTTGTGTTGGGTTAGCCGAAACCGGGTCCATGTAGGTTAAATGTATCGTGGAGCACGTGCCGACTTCTGCAAAGGTCCGGAAGATCAAAACTGCCTGTCAGTGCGTGTTCTTCCGTTCGGACGGCTCGCTGCAGTTGGTTCCTTTGGATTCAGGGTCCACGCCCATAGTCAACCCGGATCCATCATGACCGAGAGGGGTGGTGACAAGCATTGTCGAGGTGGATCTTCTTCTACGCTGAGCGGAACGGTGAGAACAACGAGGCTCGGCCGAGAGTGACATTGGGTAGTATTGTCGTCATGGGAAAGGATCCCGAGTTGCTTGTGACGCAGACCACGACGTCCCCGATGCCGCGAGCCTTTCGGCCCATGGCAACGGAAAGTTGAGGGTTTGGGGATATTCAAGGGACTAAAGGAGGGACCCTTAAAGGGAGCCTTGGGGCTATATAGATATAAGGGGTATATAGGGTATTAGGATTAGGGGTCTCTCCTATTGTCCCTTAAGATATTTGGGGTCGAGTCAAGCTGAGCCCGGCCGCGAATCCTAAACCCTAAACCCTAAACCCTAAACCCCCCTAAATCCTAAACTCTAAGATTCGTGATCTCTCAGGAGCTCGAACCTGACTCAAGACTTGGACCCTCAAGGTAAAATAGGGGCCTAAGTAATTACCAATGCTACTTTTGGGGGATTATGATTATAGTATAATTTATAATCCCTCAAAGTAGCATTGGTAATTACTTAGGCCCCTAATGATTGTAGTATAACGGACCCCAAAACCCTTTTCTAATTATTAAGGCCCCTATATCATTTACTTCAAGGCAAGCTTGCCACCTGGTGTGGCCCTGACTGACGTCGAAACCCTGAAAATGAAAGACTGAAAGCCTAATATAGGGGCCTTAGTAATTCGAATATGGTTTTGAGTTTTGGGGCCCAAGAATTTGTAATAAGGAACCCCCAGAATGATATCTGGTTCTGGTTCTGGTGCGGACAGTAGAGCTCACACGGACGAGCGCGTCCCAAAAACTGCACACGACTTGCAGGTAATTAATTTTCAGAAGTCCGCCGCAGAAATCCACGATCCATACACGTGGTATGCGCTCGGACAGGCACGTGTAAAGGCAGGACATTGAGCAACCTTTGGTTCTGCAAAGTCCGAAAAGCCCAAAGATGCGCCAGAATCACACTGCACCAGGGGTAGCGGAGGTTTAACAGGCAGGAGTCACAAGCCTTCTCCTCAAACCCACACCCGCAAAACACGAACCAACAGAATAATATCGTTAATTATTTTTGCCCCTATATTAAACCCTTAGGCCCTAAGCCCAAAAGCCACCCACACGCCCCACTTTGCCGGTGCGAGGCCCTGCGTGGCATGCATGCCGCACCTCTGCACGTAACCTGGCGGACCTGCGGGGTGCCTGGCCCTGTCCCCGGCGCAGCCTCTGAAGTAGGTAATATAGGGGCCTTTAGAGGGTTCTACATATCTTTGATTATAAAAAGAAATGTTGCTATAAAGATTCATTGCTACAAAAGGGTTTGAAGGGGCCGTAGATTCGTAGATTGGGTGCCAAATTTCATCGGTTCTTCATAGCAGCGAGCGAGAGCCATGAGGTTGGGCGTTGAGCTTGCAGCTTTTCTCGGAGTTGTTTTGTTTGCAGCCAGGGCTTTTATTAGCGTGTGGCTGTTGGTTGTGGCCAGAAAGAGTCAAACAACTACCAAGTGCCCTGATTGCAGTGGTATTACCCCTTGGTTTCGCACTTCGGCAATCTTGCCTCCGTGCTAACACGATCTCTCTCTGTCCATCCCTCCACGCTCGTTCCTGGTTCCAAACATGACGCCAGCAATGGGCACGAAATATCTGACATGCTCCACTCCTACCTTTGGAGCGGCCTTCTGGCAACTGCTCTCCGGAAGGTGAATATAGGGGCCTTACTTAGACGAGGGTTCCTGAAGGGTTGCAGACGCCATATTCAGACCTACTGTCAAAAGTAGAATGACGCTACACTCCTACTTGGAGGTTCATGGGTGGTTATACGTGGGGTTATAAGTAAGGTAACTATAGTTACAACCCATATTAGGCGACTTATAACCATACTTATAACTACCCATGAACCTCCAAGTATGCCACGTAGTTCAGGGCACGGATAGCAGCTCCCAGGCTGGAGTTTTCAGCGAAATGGTGCTGCTGAGATGCACTTTGCAATGCTTTTCTGTGCTGGTCGTGTGCGCCTGGGTTTAGGTTTAGTGTTTATAGGGTTCATGGTTTAGGGGTGAGGGTTGAAGCTGAAGAGGGTTTAGGGTTTAGGGTTTTGGGTTAACAACCCTGCAAACCTTTGGGAACATTTGCTTGTTGAAATTAGCGCCGGGTTCCTGATATCAGAAGTCGAACAGGGCTCCTTGAGAATTATGCTTCACACCGTTCAGTTAAAGTACTACCGTCATACAAGGGCGAACAGTTCCATTAAACCGAGACAAAGCTGTCTTAGGTCATTTCGGCCTAGCCTTTTAATAGATACCGTAAAGGTCAGTGAAATTCCCACATGCAGTTTAGAGAAAGCTCAGGACCTACAATACTGCTTACTGTGAAGTTGCAACCCTAAGCCTTAAATTCTTGTTTTGAACATCTTGCAGCTTGTGGGAAGGCCTTTTCTTCGGAGGACTGTCCCTGGAAAGGCCCGGCAAGGGCCGAGTTGTCAGGACGTTTGCATTTTGGGGCTTTGGGGATTTGGGTTTTGGTTTTGGGCCTCGGGGTTCAGGGGTTTAGGGTTCGGGGTTGTCGATTGCTTTCGGTTTCTTGAAGGGCGTTTGGTTTTTGGTATCAAGTTCTTGGTGTCTGCTCAGTTTCGCAGGATGGGTCGGAAACAAGAACGCAGGCAGGGCACCAGCTGGACCCAGCACCCGCCCGAAAGCATCAGGCAGAACAGCAAAAGGCTTGCCGGCGGCATAGAGCAAAATACCTGCACAAATCGAAATCTTAATGCCGCACTGCCAACGAAGCCAGCAGGCTACGTTACACAAGGAATGCAGTGCTGGGCATCGAGTCACATATCAATCAAAGGCTCCCATGGAAGCACTCGCAGCTCAAAGGAGAAAAGATAGTATCATGTTGTTCCTGCTTCCCGCATGGCAGGGTCTGGTGACAGCAGATCTATCCAGAGTTGCAGGAATTCCTGCGATGCAGCGAGGGCCCCAGTGTTGCTGTGAGTATGATTGGCAGTATAGTATTCGTGGTTGTGCTAGTCGTTGTCGTATCAGCAGCTTTAGTAAGGTCTTCACTAACATGATACGTACTCCTGCTGTGGCAATACGCAGACTTTTCGCAGCCGCTCACTAGCAGTACTAGTCGCAGAGGTAGTCGTCGTCGCCGCCGCAGTCGTAGAAGTCGTCGTCGTAGCCGTCGTCGTGCTTGTAAGAAATACTCCAATAGTAAACTACTCAAACCGTAAATACCTTGTAAGTACCAAAATCCACTCATAAATCGAACCAAACCCTAAGCCCTGCACAACGCCCTAGACCATACCCACAAGACTAAGGTTAGTATGTATAGGGGCCGAAAGCCTAAACAATTGCCTCTACTATTTGGGGGGTTCCTTATTATAGTCATAGTATAATATACCCCAACACCCTAGTCTAATTATTCAGGCCCCTGCATCAATCAACTAATGACAGCAGTGCCCGTATGCCTTGAGTTCGAGCTGCGAGTGCTAGAGGCCGGGGACTGCAATGCGGTCAGCTACAAACCCGAAGATCAAGGAGACCTCACGGGGTGCTTTTCTTGTGTTTTTGAAGTTTATTCAAAGAGGGTCTGGGAGACCTCATGGGGTTTCATAAGGATTCCTTTTGGGGCTTCTTGTTCTATTTTCTTGTTAATACAGGCTCTGTGGCATGTGTTGATCGTTCCGTTGTGCAGGGATTTCAGAGAGATGTGTAAGGGCACCGCAGGGATTCGCAGTTGTTCTTTCTGTTTTTTTTTTTTTTATCAGGGCTTTTGTTGTTTCATAGAATGTTAGAAGGGTTCTAGAGCGAATATGAGATGATGTTCTATATTGGCAGTTTAGGCATTGCAGGGTTCTGGGTTGCTTGAGATATACGTGGCAAGGGTGCAAAACCCTATTCTAATTATTAAGGCCCTTATATTACTGTACGCTTCCTACTATGTTGGGGGTTCCTTATTGTAGATATAGTATAATGGGCCCCGACATTACGCTTCGCCGAATCGCCGTATCCGAAGCCCTGAGATTGGACACGCTGCAGTCTTCGCTTCCGGAACCCCACTCCGAGTCAACTCCGAAGCAAGAAAGCTTTAAATAATATAGGGGCCTTAATCATCAGGATAGGGTTTTAAGTTTTGGGGCCCCCTTCTACTATAATTATAATCAGAAACCCCCAAAAGAGTATTGGTAATTATTAAGGCCCCTATATTACCCGAAACCCGAAAATGAGGCCATGAGCCCGAACTAGTCAAGGGCCGTCAGCCCGAACCGGAGAGCCCGAAGCCCGACAAAATACACTCAGAAGGAAGCAGCCTCGGGGGCAGCTGCGAGCTGCGGTACTGCAATGAAGGCTGGGCTGATGTGGGCTGTATGCCCGTCTGTCGGTGTGCATGCATGGATGGTTGCTTTGTTTCTGCCGTTCGGTCGGTCGGTGGGTGGGCCGGTAGGTAGGTTGGTAGGCAGGCAGGTCGGCACCTAGGTAGGTAGGTAGGTAGGTAGGTAGGTAGGTAGGTAGGTAGGTAGGTAGGTAGGTAGGTAAATAGGTAGGTAAATAGGTAGGTAAATAGGTAGGTAGGTAGGTAG